AGAAAACATGCCTTAATTAGGGGTATCACTTCATACCTTTTTATTTTGGAAATCCTACAGTTTTTATTTACATCTTATAAAATAATCAGACCTTATATGAGTATGTTGCCAGTAAATCAGAGCTGTGTATAAGTTATGAGCAAGTAAGAACAGAAACATAAGGCAAGCCTATAGGGAATGATACCACTAATGATCTTACTGATGAGCACTGTAACTTCTATTCTGACAGCATTAGTACTAATATCAGCTCTGCTGGTTAGTAAACCTGATGACAACTTCCCATCTTCATTTCATTTAGTGGGTGATTACATAGGACATGAAATGTCTGTGATTTGAAATATCTAAATAATGAATAAAATCTCCTCCATCTAGGCATCATTCGTTTACAAAAAAAAAAAAAAAAATTAATTGAAGGGCGCCAGGTTGGCTCGGTCTTCTAAGCATCTGAGTCTTTTTTTTTTTTTTTTAGTTTGTTTATTTATTTATTTTCAGAGAGAGAGATGGAAAGTGAACACACATAAGTGGGGGAAGGACAGAGAGAGAGAGAGGGAGAGAGAGACAGCACAGAGCCTGATGTCAGGCTTGAACTCACGGACTCACGGACCATGCTATCATAACCTGAAGCATCCGACTCTTGATTTTGGTTCAGGTCATAATCTCACAGTTCATGGGATCAAACCCTGTATTGGGCTCCACACTGATAGCAAGGAGCCTGCTTGGAATTCTCTCTCTCCCTCTGTCTCTGCCCCTCCCCTGCTTGTGATCTCTCTCTCTCAAAATTAATTAATTAATTGAAAAAAAAATTGAATTTTGTCATACAGACAAAGCATTTGACAAAATGCACCATCCATTCATGATAAAAACAATCGACAAAGTAGATGTAGAGGAAACATACCTCAACATAATAAAGGCCATATATGAAAAACCACAACTAACATCATCCTCATTCGGGGACAGCTGAGATCTTTTCTTCTATGATCAGGAACAAGAAAGGATGTCCACTTTCATTATTGTTATTTAACATAGTACTGGAAGTCCCAGCCACAGCAATCAGAAAATGAAAAGAAATAAAAGGAATCCAAATTGACAAGGAAGAAGTCAAACTTTCACCGTTTGCAAAGGATATGATGCTCTCTATAGAAAACTCAAAAGACCCCATCAAAAAACTGCTGGAACTGATACACAAATTTGGTAAAGTTGCAATACACAAAATCTACATACAAAAATTTGTTGCATTTCTACACGCCAATAAAGAAACCGCAAACAGAGAAATCAAGGAATTAATCCCATTATACTTGTACCAAAAGCCATAAGATACCTGGGAATAAACCTAAACTATAAAACATGGATGAAAGAAATTGAAGGTAACACAAGCAAATAGAAAAAATTACATGTTTATGGATTAGAAGAACAAATATTATTAAAATGTCTATACTACCCAAAGCAATCTACAGATTTAAAGCAATCCCTATCAAAATACCACCATCATTTTACACACAGCTAGAACAAACAATCCTAAAATTTGTATGGAACTGCAAAAGACTCTGAATATCCAAAACAACCTGAAAATGTAAAATAAAGCTGGAGGTATCATAATTCTGTACTCCAAGTTATATTACAAATATGTGGTGATCAAGATAATATGGTACTGGCACAGAAATAGGCATGTAGATTAGTAGAACAGGATGGAAAACCCAGAAATGAACACACAACTGTATGTCAACTAATCTTTGACAAAACAGGAAAGAATATCCAATGGAGACCCCTACCTTGTGGATGTGTTGTCCTACCCATGCTACCTACCCTACCCAACTGTCTTATCCTACAAGATTATGTTTGGCTATTATTATAGTGAACTTTTGTATATTAAAAAATACTCAGTAAACATATGAAAAATAAGATAATCCAATAGAAAGAGACAATCTCTTCAACAAATGATGTTGAGAAACTGGATAGCTCATGCAAAAGAATGAAACTTGACCATTTTCTTACACCGTACACAAAAAGTAAATTCAAAATGGATTAAAGACCTACGTGTGAGACCTGAAACCATAAAAATCCTAGAAGTGAACACAGGCAGTAACTTCTTTGACATTGGTTGTAGCAACTTTTTCTAGATATGATTCCTGAGATAAGGGAAACAAAAGCAAAAACACACCATTTGGACTACATCAAAATAAAAAGCTTCTTCACAGTGAAGGAAACAACAAAACTAAAAAGTGACCAATGGAATAGCAGTTTTTTTAAATGACATATCCAATAAAGGGTTGGTATCCAGTATATAAAGAACTTATCAACCTCAATAATCCCAAAATGAATAATCCAATTCAGAAATGGGCAGAAGGCATTAATAGACATTTTACCAAAGAAGACATACAGATGGCCAAGAGACACATGAAAAGATGCTCACCATCACTCATCATCAAGGAAATTCAGATCAAAACTACAATGAGATATCACCACACACTTGTCAGAGTGTCTGGAATCAAAAACACAAGAAACAAGTGCTAGGGAGAATGTAAAGAAAAATGAACGCTCGTGCACTATTGGTATTAAGGTTTCTTGAGGAAAACAGTATTAAGGTTTCTCAAACAATTAAAAACAGAACTGCCCTACAATCCCATAATGACACTACTAGGTATTTACTCAAAGGATACAAAAACACTAATTTGGTAGGATATATGCACCCTTATGTTTATTGCAGCAGTATTTACAATAACTAAGCTATGGAAGCTGCCCAAGGGTCCACTGATAAATGGATAAATAAGATGTGGTATATTCATATACAATGGATAATTATCCATCCATAAAATAGAGTGAAATTTTGCCATTTGCAATGATATGGATGGAACTAGAGAATATTATGCTAAGTGAAATAAGTCAGGAAAATACAAATACCATCTGATCACTCATATGTGGAATTTATGAGACAAAACAAATGAACAAAGGCAGGATGAGACAAACTAAGTAACAGACTCTTAACTATAGAGAACAAACTAATGGTTACCAATAGGGAGGTGAGTAGGTGATGAGTGAAGTAGGTGATGGGGATTAAGGAGTACAGTTGTGGTAAGCACTGGGTGTTGTATAGAAGTGTTGAATTACTATATTGTACACCTTAAAGTAATATTACACTGTATGTTTGCCAACTGAAATTTAAATAAAAACTTGAAAATAAATAAATAAATAAATTGAATTTATGGTGGACTTGCATTAAAATTCTGGTAAAATTTTTCTGTATATCTTAAACTCTAATGCTGTATGTACTCATGACAGTTCCTCAATCAGCCATATTTTTTCCTCTTCATCCTCTATGCTCATACAGGGCACTCCTATAACTCTCTCCATAAGAAGGAATGGATCTGGAAAAGTCTTAGGAGGACTGATAAATATTTTTGTTCTGTTTCCTATGGTGAAATAAAGCATCAGTTACCAAACGGCTGAGACTTCCACTAGTGTTTATCTAAATAATCTCCATGCCATGACTATTCAAAAAGAAAATAGAGAAACATTACTGTCTTCTTTTACTAAGGAGTGGGGATAATCTAAGATAGGGCATTATTTTGTAGACACCCTGTGCTGTGAACTAGCCACTTTCCCTATCTCAGCACAGAGGACTTTTTAATAGAGTTATTTTTCTTAATTAATTTTCCTTTGCTTAATTTCTTCACATTTTTAGAATATTGAATTTTTATCATAAGAAGGATGTTAATTATAGAAAATATAAAAAAATAAAATGAAAAAGTTAGAAATAGTCCTATCTTTCAGTAATAACTATTCTGAAAATAGAAGTGTGTGGATATTTTTACCAGTGTTTTCTTTACATATATGCAGGTGTGTGTGTGTGTTCACACACACATGCTTTTTCACACAATTAGAAATTTTCTATATTTATAGTTTTATATCATGTATTCAAAAATTTTTATCATCTTTCTTAATTTTTTAGTGTTTTATTTATTTCTGAGAAAGAGAGACAGCGTGAGCAGGGTAGGGTCAGAGAAAGGGGAAAACACAGAATCTGAAACAGACTCCAGGCTCTGAGCTAGCTCTCAGCACAGAGCCTGACACGGGGCTCGAACCCACGAACTGTGATATCATGACCTGAGCTGACGTCAGACGGTCAACCAACTGAGCCACCCAGGCGCCTCCATCTTTCTCTTATTAAAAGCAATACAAGTTCATTTTAAAAATATTTAAATATGATTAAGCAAATTGAAAAAAAATGAGAATTATCAAAATAAGTAAAGGGACGCCTGGTTCAGTTAAGCGTCCACCTTTGGCTCAGGTCATGATCTCATGGCTCATGGGTTCCAGCCCCACATCAGGCTCTGTGCGGACAACTCAGATCCTGGAGCCTGCTTCGGATTCTGGTCTCCCTCTTTTTCTGCCCCTCCCCAGCTCGTGCTGTCTTTCCCTCAAAAATAAGTAAGAATTAAAAAATTAGTAAAATTAGAGAAAAGGAAAAAATAGAAGTTTCCTATAATTCCATCTAGAAATAATAATGTCAGTGTTTTGGTATTAAATAACATCATTCTTTTTTTCCTCTATGAAAATGTACACTTCTTTTCCTTTTACCAAATAAATCTCACACTGTACTTACATAGTAGGTTTTGTTGCCTTGATTTGTTTACTTTCCAATTTTTTGTGAATATTTTCTTTATTATCAACTATTCTCTTCATTTTTATGGTATTTACTGTAGGAAGAGATCCTAAATGATTTATTAAACCGTCCATTGTTAATCATATAGGTTGCTTTCATTTTTTTTTTCAATTATAAACAGCACAGTAGTGGCCATCCTTGTATTTGCATCTATTCACACTTGTTTCCTAGAATGCATTGTTAGAGGTACAGTTGCTCATCACAGCATATATGATGTGAATTTATCATTTGTGTCTTTTTAAAATAAAAAAAAATTTAAGTGATCTTGAGAAAGGTATTTTCAATAAAATTTCGAGGAATGAAAATGAAACCACGGTATTTTTTTTTTTTTTTTCTGTAGAAGAGTCCAATGAAGTTCCAAATGAGGCAAGGGTTCATAAGGAGGAGGGCCACCATGGTGTATCCACAGATAATGTGGTATGTACATTTTGAAATTCTTTCCTCATGATAGATTCTTTCCTACGTGATGGATTTCAAGGATATATTTCCCGTTGGTAATAATATTGATGTTAGTAGAATAAAATCCTTCCCCACTCCACAAGCCAAAACAGAGCTGTCACCAGTGAAATTATATATCTTTGAGGGTTTAAGAAATGAAATTTAAAGCACTGTCATTTGTGTCTCATTTTTTTTGATTGAAGAGATTTCCACATATAAAAACCTGATGCTTACTACACATAGACATTTTATACATGTTATTTCTCTTTCACACATTCAGCAGAAATCACATTTCTTCTCATTTAACAGGTGGAAGAAATAAAATTGAGGTTAGCTTGAAACCATGAATGAAGCTTTTGTTAGTTCTGAGTCTTATACCCAAGGATTCCTGATTCAGAGCTCTCTGTTCAGACCATGTCTATCTCTACTATCTTTGGAAACTTCTCTTCTTTCTAGTTGTATTATGTTCTATTAGTCTTCTTAAAAGTACTCTTATGAAAGAAAGAAATACAATATTAAAAGACTGGATGACAGGCAGAGACAGACTGTATGTAGATTAAACTGGGCTTTGTGAAAATTTACACATTATTCGTATATAGAAATGTTCTCCAAGCAGCTGTTTTAGCAGCATCATTTATATTTGACTCCATCAAGTATTACAGAAATCAAGATAATATTAAAGTCAAAGACAAAGGCAAGTTCCATTTTGCTTTTGTTTTTTCTTTTGAATTAGTAATTGTTGCTTGATTGAAATCTTTACAAAATGGTCCCTATAATGGATTTTTGTGTTACAAAATGCATGTAACGCTAAGATTTACCCTGGCTTCCATTGCAAACATTATTTTTATGACACTCTAATTCCTCTACATCTCCTTAATAAAAGTTGAAACATAAAATACAATTTTGCTCTTTTTTGGTAAACATCAACTATATGTAATAGTGTTTTCCACATGCAGAATATAGTTTAGGATTACATTTTTTTTATCTCAGTCCCACAAATCAATAGCTAATGGGAAAATAAGCTTTGATTTTGATGCAAAGTCATGTTTTCTTGAGATAGCTAGTAATAATTATTTTCCACAATTATTAATTGTGTTAGTATTCTTAAATTCCATGAAATAATAATCTCCTCTGCTCTAGATTTGTGTTGTACTATGCAAGCTATATACAATTATTTATAAATTAAAACCTTTTGCCCTAAACACATGCTCATTTTGTTTGAATTTCTCTGCATTGGATCCCTCCTCAGTAGACATTTGGAAATAATGGCATGGGATGACTGAAGTCACCTAGGCACCTAATTTTTTAAAACAATTTATTATTGGAGACAAAACTTCAAACTTTTAAAGGTCCATGTCTTGTGCCTGTAACTTTTGAGTGCCCTCAATTATTCATAGATGACAAAGTACAAAGATATACGACTTATTTATATGCACATATCTAGACAGTGACTCTTGGTGCCTTCTTCCCTAGATTACTTATTTTCTTTTCCCCAAAACCAATCCAAATAGAGAATCTTAAAAAAAAATTGGATAGTGTCAAATATGGTCTGGTGAAAACTGATATGATTAAGCCCTAAGTTTATAATGATTTTAATAAAACACAAAACAGATTCATCTCTAATCAGCAGTAGAAAGCAATTTCATTGCACAAGTCCTCCTTGACTAAGAAGCCTGTAGCTCACAAACCCTGTTATGGTTACATATCCTCATAGGCAACGTAATAAGTATGGTCATTCAAGGTATGTTTGTTACTTTTAAAAATTTTTTTAAAAAATGTTACTAAAATTCCAGTTAATTAACACACAGTGTAATATTAGTTTTGGGTGTACAATATAGTGATTCAACACTTCTATACAACACCTGGTGCTCAGAAATTTAGAACTGATTTTGTCTTTTGCTTTTGGTTTACAAAAATAATGTTCCATGATTAGAGAATTTTCTTTGCCTTCATGGTTGGAGCTTAGTGGTCATTCTTCACATTCTTCACAAAAACAGTAAGCTGTTTTGTTCACTCTTTTGACAGATAATTAATACCTACTATGTGCAAAATACTGTACAGACTATGTTGCACCTTAATTCTAAAGATAATGGCAGTTTAGCCTCTCTCTCCCTCTTTCTCTCTCTCTCTCTCTCTGTCTGTGTGTGTCTTCTTACTGTCCAATGAAGGAAGAAAACCAAGTTTTTTTTTTTTATTACATCATAAATGTCTGCTTTCAATTGTCTATAGCTAATGGAGTGCATTAAATAAATGATATTTTTAAAAGAATGTATTTGGCTTTGGAACGCATGTCACATGTTGATATTTTACAATAAAAGTTGTAAAGAAATACATGGTAATTTTTTTTAAAAGCCTTTGCAACAAAGCAGGTATGGTTAGCATTAAATAGACTACTCTTACAGGAAGTGAGATTCCTGTCACTGGAGGGCACTATTTAAGCAGAATTCAAGTGCATATTTTCCCCCTAGTTACATTGTGGGAAGTTTAAAGTTTCTTTTTAAGCTTATTTATTTGAGTGAGAGAGAGTGAGAATGTGAGGGAGGGAGGGGCAGAGAGTGGGAGAAAGAGAATCCCAAGCCAGCTCTGGACTGCCAATACAGAGCCTAAAGCAGGGCTTGATCTCATGAATGAGTGAGATCATGACCTGAGCTAAAATTGAATTGGACACTTAATCAACTGAACCACCCAGGGGCCCTGATATTTTGCTATTTTAAATAGTATTACAATAATTTTCTGTTTACTTATTTTTTTAAAAAAATAATGTTTATTTTTAAGAGAGAAAGAGCATGAGTGGGGAAAGAGCAGAGAGACAGGGGACAGAATCTGAAGCAGGTTCCAGGCTCTAAGCTATCAGCACAGAGCAGGTCACAGGGCTTGAACCCAGCAACCATGAAATCATCATCTGAGCCAAAGTTGGACACTTAACCAACTGAGCCACCCAGGCGCCCCAATAAATTTCTATTTACTAAGCAATCATCAATTAAAGGTAGTGGAAGGTGGCTCAGACACACACTGTGTATAGCACTGAAGAGACAGTCAGTTATCAGAGTTTATTCTGGATAATTTGGACTAGATAATCCCATCATAAAAGGTAAGCATTGAATGTATATTTTCTACACATTTTTAGTGTAGTGACGATAATCAGATATATATTTATGGAAACTTCTCTACTTGTGTTACAGAAAATAGAAATTATTGATGATGAAGAAAGTGACATGATAAGTAATTCTGAAGTTGAACAAGTGAATTCTCTCTTGGATTATAAGGTGAAAGTAATTTCAAATTCTGAATTCATTAAGAGAAGGTACTAAATGAAGCATACTTTTACAGTGCCTATGTATTAGTTTATTTCACTTTCATTTTCATTTGATAAGTTAAACTGGAGCTCCACATTGACTCTCTCAAGCACTTAGATATCAGCCAAAATATTGGCCACTTTAATTAATGCTGGCTGGTTTAATGGTTATTGTTTTAAGCAAAGAGCTTGCTGAGTGGGAATAGATATTGATAGTGTACATCAAGGTGAGGCTGTGCACAATGTTGGTTAATTTATGTTAGTTGGATAATTTATGGCAGTGGATTAAAGGTAGTGTTTATTTTTAAATGATGACAAAGGGGATTTTTTTTTCCAATGGCCCTTGCTAATTTTATCTCAAATTCAACTTCTGAAAACCATTTTTAGGAAAACTGTTTTAGAAGTTTGAAAACAATTCGTAAAGCAAATGCCAAATGAATATAAATAGAGATGACCTTTTCTTTTTTTTTTTT